GCTAACTGTCCTGCTGTGAAAGGTAATTCCTGCAATATTTTGTATAATATGATCCCAGAGTAAAACCTTTTAACCGTCCTAGATACTATCGACTAAATATAATAGTACAAGGTTTATTTCTAGTTTAGGAATTTGATTAGGCACTCTCGACAGGCCCTTATTACGTGCCACTTTTAATTTTTTTAACTATTGTTCGAACAGTTTGGTTAAAGCAACGTTTTAAATTTCAAGTATCAATATGTAAATCTCTAAATTAATTAAAAGATTACGACCATGATGTTATAAACAACTTCAGTTTAATATTACTTATTGATCAGGTTCGCCGCTAAGAGGTTTAGGAAGGCACAGTGCCCCATTGTTGAGAGGCTGGTCAACTCCCTCATGATGCACGGCAGGAACAACGGTAAGAGGATCCCTGCCGTAATTATTCAATCCCAGTGTCCTTCATTAGTTTATGAACTAACAGTTCATCCCCCCACATTAATGAATTTCAGCGCGGTTTGACGGATGAAAACGTTACGCTTCTTAAATTCTAAATCATGAAAAGGATTAACGCATAAAGTTTTATTTTCTCTATGTCGCCTATTTCAATTGTTTCTACTTCGATATGTATTGGTGTTTTTAATCAATCAAGAAACCATAATTAAGTGAATTTTTAAGGAGAGAGTTATTAGAAATTTGTTCATTTTGTCTAGTAGTTAATGCTTAGGGATTTACATTTCAATTCTTATTGTACCTTATCTAGTGCTTAATCTCGGAATGTTTTAAAAATCATATCAGCCTTAAGTTCGAATCTTTTTTTCTTAGCTCTAAAACTAGTTCTGTTTATAGTTTTAATAATAATTTTTCTTGTTTAGGTAAGAAACTTATGACCGTGAGGATTGTCAAGCACAGCTTTGAGATCATCCATCTCCTAACCGGAGAAAACCCTCTTCAGGTATGGAACTCAAGCGCGCTCTAATACAAGGCTCGTAAAGTTATACTACAAGTGTTTAGACGGACCTTTTTCTCTATCTTCCCTTTCGAACATAACTTGTTGTTGCAAAATAATAATACATAATTTCCAATCTCCTTCTTCGGAGCTTTGCTGTTAATCGCATATTTTACGCTCGCCTTTCTATCCAATTTGAATTGTGTTACAAATAGATTTTTTTAGTTCATACTATAAACGAAACCTTATTGGAGCAGCAGCAGAATAAATACATTTAGATTTTTTTTGGTTTTACGTAAAAAATGTAAATTGCATTAAGTGTCAATTGTAAAGTTTTTTATTTTAGATCCTTGTTAATGCTATCATCAACTCCGGACCCCGTGAGGATTCTACCCGTATTGGTAGACAGGGAACAGTCAGGAGACAAGCTGTTGATGTTTCTCCTCTTCGTAGGGTTAACCAGGTACA